TTGCCCAGTCTAATGCTGCAAACCCATCCGGACCTCTGGGTGGGAACGACGGCACCGAGACTATGGTTCCAAACGCGGCAACGGGAACAATGCACGGCTCGCAATTCCTTGAGGAAGAACTGGCTGAATCTTCGGCTAGGACTCGCCCATTTATGCTCAAGGCTTGGAGAACGCTCAAGAAAACAACTCCACAACGATTATAAGGCAACAAGAAGCTGAGAGAAACAAGGAATTGCAAGACTCTTCTTATGCGCTACTCAAGTCTCCAATAATAGCCTTCTTGCCAGTTTTGCAAGGAGACAAAGATACAACCATATTTACTATCTCCAAGCATGCTACAAGCTCAACTTAAAACCAAGGTAAGTGATTACATTCTGATTATTATTCACGAGTTTCTTTGGTTCTTTTGCAGGTTATTTCCCTTTGTTTTAGTGCAGTTATGCTTTACTTTCTCAGTCAGTTTGTAACAAATAGAATAGGGCTTTTAAAACTTTCCATATTTGTACTTTCGGCCTTAGAAGCCCTAAGCTGCAGAGCTATTATAAAGCTCCTTCTCAGCTTGTAATAATTCACGTTTTTATTAATAAAAAGAGAACTTTCTTCTTTGAAGAACCCTAGCCGCCGGTTACCTTTGCTCTTCCTTCCTTGGTGCGATTCCATTGAAGCTTGAGTGTTTAGACTTATCACAGAGCCTTCCATTCCCTGTGTGGCATCTCTCAACCCACCTGCAACTTGTCATTCCATCAAATCATCCATTAGAGTCTTAGAGAGTGCTTTACAGCCAACTAGAGATTCACGATTCAATCCCACTTTCATAGACACATTCAAACGTGCCTATATCTGTATTTAATAAAGAAATAAATGCTTTTTAGACTTAATATGCTACTTTTAGCATTTTCGTGGGTTTTGAAGTCATTACTGGCTTTTGGAGTATCTTGGGCCAAAAAGAAGTGAAATCAAGTCTTTTCAAGGAAGGACAAATCCTAACTGTCAGATGTTTCACTCCAGATGAAGATCTTCCCTCCATTAGATCGAGCTCATATATCACCATGACATAGAGGAGGATCTCAACTTCTAAACAGATATTCATTTGTCTCAATCCGACGGTTAGATCTTGAGATATCTTCGATATAAGGAAATCTGTCCGAGTAATGATCAAGCTAAAGGCAATCTAGGATATTCACTCGCGATCGACCAGACGTCATAGGTGATCGATCGATCACGAACTCACTGTTTTTGATGGACAAACACATTAACACGATCGAACGTAGGAGAAGATTGATTGATCGCCACATCCGAGAAGATTGGGAATTTTCTTTTTTTTTGAAAATTATCTCCTAATTTTTTTGGGAGAACCCCTAGCCGACCTTAAGACTTATAAAAGGAGACTCATCAGCCTCAAGGGAGGACACCACGTTCACCATCGTCATCACTTCAAAACTCTTAGTTCTTCACAAGTTCTAAAAGTATTCCTCTCGCTTTACTTGTTACTTTGCTCGTTTGG